AAGGAAAGAGGAGGAGGAGGGATGGAGGGAGGGAGAAAGAGCGCACAAACCTATCGTCAACCTTCCGGACCCCCACTGCCTCTGTAATCAAGCACAGATCAGTCTCAATTAATTTCAGCGTTCGTTGACAGTGCCAATTACAACACAATGGCAAATAGTCCATGAAATGGAACGTTGAACACTTTGCGTCCTAACTTGACATTTGACTGCGGTTTTACATCAATGACTGCTAAACAAGAATAGATCTCTTTATGTGCTGTTTTTAAACATATTTTTGAAGCATATTTTCAGTGTTTGCTGTGTTTGGCTCATTGCTGTGCTGAAATGAAACCACACATTTTTCATTGTGTTGGCCCTTCACCAGAGTGTGTCATGCAGTTTGATGTGGGCACTGAGGTTTTCATTTGGAGAAGTCTGGTTAAGCTCGGTGCTTTGGACAATGGCAAAGACTTGGTTAAACGAGCTCAGAATACGACTTTACTGTACCGCACTTACGGTAGGCTTTTGGGATTTGACTCCAAATAGGAATGAAATTAAATGTATTTTGCTTGAAGATATTTTCACGTAAATGCTCTGTTTTTGCCATTGTGGAAATTTGGCGTGTGTGTGTGGATGAGCTTGTGTTAAAAAAAAGCTTCATTTTGATTTTAGTGGACAACCAGCCAAAGACATTGTTTGAAGAGTGCTGGGTTGACATTCCATGTTGTAACAAGAAGTTGGTGACATTTCAAAGAGCTTGTTTCTTGTTATAAAGCCAAGGGACAAACCACAAAACATTGAAGGCCCTTTTAAAATGCCTATTCCTTTTCATTGATATTTGGGGAAGGAAATAATGAACCATGATTTCATACATTGCCTGCTTCACTGTTATTCTGAAATATGTCAAATATGTCATTTTTGATTTCTTTGAGATGTTTAGCTCCCATGCTGCACTGCTGCATGAACATAGCAGGGTTAGACAGGATCCGTTACACTATTGGTCTCATTCGGAGGCCTAATCAGCTCTTCCTCATTCGCTGTAGCTGAGGAGTGTGTGTCTAACTAAAGCAGATGGCTCTACTGTTCCACTGAGGCCATTGGCTGTTTTAATAAGCTTAACATGCTATATTGATCTGCAGCCAAGATCAATTGGCGAAGTGTTTGGCTTTGAAATTAACACCACACCAGAAAAAAAGCTTGAAAATGCTGAGATGGATTCCCAAGTTAATCCATCCAATATGACTGTAATACCAAGTATTTTAGAGGAATTAAATATGTTGGACTGACCATCATTATGCCAATCTCTTCATATTTACTCTTGTCAGCATCCTTTACTGTTATTTTCTTAACTTCAATCTGTTCAAATGGATGTTTTCTTGACTGAAGCAATTATAATGTAAAATGAGTATGATATTACATTATATTATACTATAATATATAACTACAATAAAATACTAATTGTATAGTATAATTGTCAGGTGCCAGGAGGCAACAATTTGCAAGAGTTCACCAAAATTTGACAGTTGAAGACTGGAAAAATGTTGCCTGGTCTGATGAGTCTCGATTTCTGTTGAAACATTTAGATGGTAGAGTAAAAATTTTGCGTAAACAGAATGAGAACATGGATCTATCATGCCTTGTTACCACTGTGCAGGCTGCTGGTGTTGGTGTAATGGTGTGGGGGATGTTTTCTTGGCACACTTTAGGTACATTAGTGTCAATTGGGCATTGTCTCTGACCATGTCCATCCCTTTATGGCCACCATGTACCCTTCCTCTGATGGCTACTTCCAGCAGGATAATGCACCATGTCACAAAGCTCGAATCATTTCAAATTGGTTTCTTGAACATGACAATGAGTTCACTGTACTAAAATGGCCCCCACAGTCACCAGATCTCAACCCAATAGAGCATCTTGGGGATGTGGTGGAATGGGAGCTTCGTGCCCTGGATGTGCATCCCACAAGTCTCCATCAACAACAAGATGCTATCCTATCAATATGGGCCAACATTTCTAAAGAATGCTTTCAGCACCTTGTTGAATAAATGCCATGTAGAACTAAGGCAGTTATGAAAGCGAAAGGGGGTCAAACACAGTATTAGTATGGTGTCCCTAATAATCCTTTAGGTAAGTGTACTTTGAATCACAATATGTGACAGATCTTACCTGTTTTTTCTTTTTTGTTGTTGTTTTTTATTCATGAAAAGTGCAGCTTCTCGCTGTTAAGGACAAACAAGTTGCCTGCCCTTACCTGTCAGGTCTAATCTTACTTTCTCTGTTACTTTTACTTTCCCACTATAAAGGTATTTCCATCTGGACCCACCCCCTCTTTTCTCAATCTTTTCTCTCAGCACCAGTATGGAAATTTACATACCTCTATTCTTGGAAAGAAGGAGCAAGAGAGAGAGAAAGAATAATGACAGCAATTTCTTCCCTTTCTCCACTCGCTGGCTTGCGAGAGAGTGTCGTTTAACGGCACCTGTGTTAGCGACAGGCGCGCGGATGAGAAGCGAAGGAGAGCAGTTGATTAAATCATCAAGTCGCGGCACAGAAAGTCAATTCTGCTCACCGTCTACAATGATATCCTTTTATCCTGACGTAATGAGCTATGGCACTTTTGCATTGGGTAATGCGATGAGTTCTATTAGCGCGTTCCATTTGCTTCACAAGCAAGGGCGAGTCATTTCGTTCCTCTCATATCTCCGCAATCAAAGCGCTAGGCTGGGCAACGGGGAGCACTGGCACGCCAATGGAGATGCCGGCAGTGTTTTTTATGGATCACAACACACTGGAAAAAATACATTTTGCTCATTATTTTAACTCTTCAGGAACTTTGCCTTTGCCAGATGAAGGGGAGCCTCTGGCCTTTAGGAAGGCTTCATGTAGTCGTACATTAAATCGACCAAGTACATGGAAGGGCGGGAAGAGTGTGGATTGTATTTCGAAAGCCTCAATAATACAATACTGATTGTGTTTCATAGCATTTTTACTGTAATGCTAACAGTGTTATGGTACTGGCACACACAGGAGCAGTACGTTATTAACATCTGTGTGTGTGTTTATTGGTTATGTATAATACATGAGCCCCGTATGTCTCGAATCCCAATGGACTGGGGCTGTAAATTGGATGCTGCTCAGCAGGCCCTGTATCAGGTCAGACGGGAGAAACCCGTGCCAGAAAATATTCTCCCCTCTCTCACTCTGTCCCTTCCTCTCACTTTCTATCCCTAGCTTTCAGTCCTTGCAGGAATACGGCTCCCAGAACTGTCAATCATTCAGGGCTGCCACAAGGTTTATGCTCTGCTGGGTGTAATTGGCCCTGAAGACCTCAAGCCCCACCCCTAGCAGGCCTTCATTAGGGAGTCCAAACTCAAACCCTGAGCGCATCTCTCCCAGCCAAGTCATCTGTGAGCTGCTAGTTAATTAGTAGATAAAGAATTAAGCAGACCTTGAAATTGAAATTGGACAGAAAGGCTTAAATTCGGCATTTTAATATCATTCTATGTTTATTAGCATGAAGTCCCCACTACGCTCTGTTGTTTTGTTTTTGTTGTTTTACTTTATTTTATTTTCATTCAGGGTTATGTCTAAAATGTTAAATTCTTAAAGGGATACGCCACCCAAAAATGAAAATTCTGTCATCATTTACTCACCCTCAAGTTGTTCCAAACCTGTACGAGTTTCTTTCTTCTGCTGAACACAAAGGAAGATATTTTGAAGAACGATTGGCACCATTGACTTCCATAGTATTTTTTTTTCTACTATGGAAGTCAATGGTGCCAAATACGCTGATAGCTCAAAATGCGTATAGATAACACGCCACTTGACTTGAAAGTGGCGTCTATGTTTACGCAAAAGTCATGATGTCATGTTGACTGATGAGTCTCGATTTCTGTCAGAATTTTGCGTAAACAGAATGAGAACATGGATCCATCATGCCTTGTTACCACTGTGCAGGCTGGTGGTGTTGGTGTAATGGTGTGGGGGATGTTTTCTTGGCACACTTTAGGCCCATTAGTGTCAATTGGGCATTGTTTAAATATCACAGCCTACCTGAGCATTGTTTCTGACCATGTCCATCCCTTTATGGCCATCATGTACTCATCCTCTGATGCAGGATAATGCACCATATCACAAAGCTCGCATCATTTCAAATTGGTTTCTTGAACATGACAATGAGTTCACTGTACTAAAATGGCCCCCACAGTCAACTCAATAGAGCATCTTTGAGATCAACCGATTCCGAAGACGAATGACCAGTTCTTTTGAATGATTCTGAAAAATACAGTGTGACTAGTGTAGCCCAATTCTGAACATGAACAACTCTTCTGAACTGGTACTTTTTAGTGAATCAGAATTGACACATTTTAAATAGTAAGAGTAGTATGTTGCTCCAAATTCAGCAACCAGTGTAGTCTGATTCATGAACAAATGACTATTATGAGCCAGTTCTTTTTATTTCAAAAGAAGTTTTGAATCAATCTGAAATGATTTACAGCCTTAGCAGAAAAAGTTAGAAATAGACCCAAAGGATTCAGAATCTTTTGAATCAGGACGTCTGCAGTACCCAACCCTAAACATCAATGCCAACAATTAAACCCTTTTAATATTAGATATTTTTGACCAAGTAATCAATTTGTTGAATTTCAGGAAAGCTAATTTGGTTGTTTTTATTTGAAAAAGCTGTGTACAGAACAGAGCTTAAGTAGTTGCAGTGTGTCTGTGGCCTATGAGACGTGAAGATAGTTGGACTCGTACTCTAGTTGGTGTCTGGGAGAAAAGCCCTGCTGGTGGTAATAGGCAGATGTAATGAGGCCTGGCCACTGAGTGAGATAAGAACAGCCTTTTCCTGCTTAGACTTTTATTACTCTGCTGATGAGCTGTGCAGTGCGAGACTGCCAGAATCAGATTTCCACTTCATAATGGCTTTATATTTAAAAGCAAAAAAAAAAGTGTTTCAGCTTTGTCACATCTATTAGATTCTGCACTGTTGTAATGTTGCCTTTGTCTTTGTCTTACAGTGTGAAAGCGAGAGTGACCAAGAAGACAAGGTAAGACCATGCCTAATTATTTCTACAATAACAGCAGTGTATTGAAATCTCATTATGAAGTTCTTTAGGATTTAAACATTAATGTTGAAATGTTTTTGTTATAGTACTGTTTCTTATCCCTACATAAAATGCAAAGACAACTACAAAGCCCCGTTATAATAGCGAATACTGTACATCATTGGAGATCACTGTCTGCTCTCTTATTGGTAGTTGTTACGTCGTATCGATTCGCTACTAATTTGCATAAATCGTTATTGCATTGCCTCTGGTCGCTGTAAATTTTCTCTCCCAGAGTTCGCCAAATCTTTCTTGAAAATGAATGATGTCTGTTCGCTTTGGTCACTCACTGTGAATGTCTTTTAGTTTTTGTTTGGTTTATGTAAAATATGGTGGGGGGAAAATTACAACATTGTAATTAATATACTGAATTGTGATTTCCTTCTGGAAATGTAAAACTAGTTAGCTGTAGTTTTAGTGCCAGTGGTGGTATTATTAATACCATGTTACATCAGCACTTCTAAAATCATCTTTATTCGTTTTTAATCAAAGTTGAATCAATGAGAATCCAATATTAGACTCTACTTAAAAGTGTGTTTCTATTTAATTAGAATTGCCATCTTGTTAATGACTGTGAGAAGGCCTTAATTAACTCTGCATTAATTATGAATGACTAAATGGTGTGCGAAATTTGAAAAGGACCATTACGAGCTTCATAAGTTAAATTTTATACATATTAACATGAAACAATTCCAACAGATTTATTATATATAGATAACCCACAAGACATGCAGTATGTTATTAATGCGGTACGTACTAAATCAGGCCATTATTTAAATGCATGAATGTAATTGAACACTAGGCTCTAGGCTAACTTTGATGCAAACTAGGCAAGATACAAAAAGATTTACAAGACACATTACACCACTTATTTACTGTTTGTTGAACATCAGCATGATCACACGAATTTTTTTTTTTTTCTCCTTATTTGTTGGTGGTTTGATGCTTTTAACCAGTGGTGGTTTGATGACGACGAGTTGAATTATCCATGTCAGTCAAAGCCCTTTTGTTGTGGCATGGCAGAGATGTGTGGTGTACGACATTAATCGCTGTTTTGCTCGCTGCGTTCCTGCTTCTCATTATTCCTCTAATGATTTTCACAATGTCATGTCATTCTCTCTGCCTTTGATTAATTATGTGTCAAAACAATGGGAGGGTTTATTAGGTAAACAAAGAAACAAGAGCGCTCTCTTTCAAACACACACACACACATTCGCAAACACTTCAGAGAGATCTCTTACTGTCAATAGCTCTTAAAATGTGTTTACAAAACTGTCAGCATGTTGATCTGCATTAGCAATGAGTGACAGCTACACTCTAAAAAACGATTCGTTGGCCGAACAACCATTACTTATAAAAGTAATTGGATCAAACATAAAAAATTAAGTATTCATAACTTTTCAACGTTTACTTAACATATATAGTGTGTGCAACACAAAAATATAAGTTACTAGGTGCACTTAAATGTATGTATAAATAAAATGAAAAATACATAAGGCATGTCAACTTGCGTCAAAATTAAGTAAATCTAGCAAATCATTTTAAGTACTATATGAGCCACGTGATATGCAATTTCCCGTGATGCCTATCCAGACAAAAATTAAGCCATTTTATTTCACAGCACATGTGAAGACGTTGAGAAGAGGTAAGCTTATTTTTTGTAGGCTACTTAGGCCTACACATGATCATTTATTGCATTTTTGGTCAAGAAATTTACTTTTAACTGAATTTCAGAATTGCTACAAATTTTGCATCAACAATTAGAAACGTGATACTTACGAATGTAAACGTTTGTAGTCTACATGTAAATGAATGAAATAAGTGTTTTGCACGCGAGTATTTGAAGAGTATATTGTGTTTTTTCAAAATATATGACCATGATGTTGGCTTATGCATTAATGGTGTGTTCACACAGAACGTGAATTTAATTATTTGCGATAGCAGATTACATTCATAGTCAATGCAAAGACGCGAAGACGCATCATTCGCGCCGGGCGTCGCGAATTGGGTGACTCGTTTGCCGCGAACGTCTTCCTCGGTAGAAAAATTTGAACTTGAGCGGGCTGCGGAAGATTCAAGCATCTAACTAGACGCGACGTGTTTGACGCGTTCGGTTACCAATTCGGAGGCGCTTTCTCCCCCGATAGCCTAGATTATAGGCCTACTTTATTAGCGAGTTGTTTTTGGATAAAACAAATGTACCTTGCATATTTACAAATTCCCATATTATCTATCTATACATGGATCGCGGGGAAGGGGGTTTTGGGCGCGGGTTAGCCTACTTTTGGTAACGTTAACATAAATATTACATTCAAAAACACATTGCCTACAGCTCCGTGTGCACAATTTATCATTAAATGATGGCAATCTTGATTCTAGCACAATATTATTCCTAAATGACAGCGACAATTCAGTAAATTAAACCTTCAAAATTATTATCAAAATAAGTAAATACCCTTTAAACAAAAGTTTAGCTTCAAATAAAGATAGATCTTTACTGTTTTCCAGTAGTTACTGTTAAAATATTTTTGAATAGATTCGTTCAAAACCTCTGGACAAAAGTCATTAATTAACTTCTATTTTGTTTAAATTAATAGATATTAATAGACTAATTTTTATATTTATAGGCATTTAATAATGGACTAATTTGTTACATTTAATTGTTTTTTATTGATTTTTGAAAAAAAAATAAATATATAGGCCTATATATCTTCTGCCCACCAAGCCTTCATTTCTTTGATCCAAGAAAAAACTGTAATATTGTGACTATTATTATTATTATTTTAACAACTATTTTCTATTTTAATTTATTTTAAGATGCAATTTAAAAGTTTTGGGTAAAAAATAAATAATAAAGTGAAATGTTTTATTGTGTATGATTTGCATGTTTAATTTATTTTAAGACATGTAAGCTGAAGATCTAAAATAAGTTAAAATGGTTGGTTCAACTGATTTAATTGTCTTATTTTTATATATAAATGAGCTTAAATGTTAAGTAAACAGAACTAAGATTTTTTTTTTATCTCACATGGCCTGCACTGTGTTGGATTTACTTAAAAGATATATGCACCATTTTTGCGTCATACTTTTTAAGTAATCCGTAATCATTTAATTAAGTAAATTTTTAACTTGGAATAATTTTACATAAAAAAAACTTAAATATTTTAGTTCACGTGACATTCTTTACTTAAAAATATATGTAACGTGATGCATACATTTTTAAGTAAAGAATGTTGCGTGAACTCAAATAATTAAGTACATATAACAAAGATTTTCTTGTTAATTTTAAGTAAAATTATTCCAAGTTGGGATTACTTAAAAAGTATGATGCAAAAATGGTGCATATATATTTTAAGTAAATCCAACACATCATTTTTTAGAGTGTATGTTCACGTGCTTTACTCTGGGAATGAATTCAGGAGCTTTTTCCCCTGCAATAGCAATTACAGTACAATATGTTCAGCGGCTGTAGGGAAGGACGACTATTCACATTAATGGGTCAGTTCTATTCATCCACAGAACAAACTGTCTCGTTTTATTCTCCTCCGGCTCAAATCAGGAAATGAAAAAAGACGCTCTGGAGAAATCACTCTCTGACTGCAAGAATGTCTCCGTTTTGCATGCCCACTCTCCTTAAATGGGTGAGTTCACCCAAAAATGAAAAATCTGTCATTAATTACTCAAATTAAGATATTTTCTTTCTGAATCAGCTTGGCTGCAACGTCATTGTAACTTTCAAAGCCCAGAAAGGTAGTAAATACATCATTAAAATAGTCAATGTGACTACGGTGGTTCGATCTTTATGTTATGAAGCGACGAGAATACATTTTTTGCACAAAAAACAAACAAAAATAATAACTTTGTTCAACAATCTCTTCTCCTCCATGTTAGTTTTCTACGCAGTTCTCTTAGTAAACTCTGTTCCGCTTTTCTGGGTTCTACCTCAGAACGCCGGCTTATTATTGGCCGACGCTGTTCACGTGAGCATGCATTTACATTTATGCGTTTGGCAGACGCTTTTATCCAAAAAGACTTAAATTACATTGCAAGCTACACATTTACATTCTCATCAGTTCTTGCTTTCCCTGGGAATCGAACCCATGACCTTGGCGTTGCAAGCACCGACGCTCTAATATTTGAGCTACAGTAATGAGCCAATAATGAGCCAGCATTTAAAAAAATATTTATACAATATTTTTTTATATATATATATTGTATACATTTTTATAAATTGATGTGATCAAATTAAAGAATAGTTTTATAAATGTATAATACAGTATAAATATATAAAAATGTATTTAATATAAAAAATGTAATGTATACATTTTTTTTATATTATTGATTATTGTTTATAAATGTTAGAATTATTTGCTTTAAATGTAGGCTTAACTTTAACTGTTTTTTATATATATATATATATTATTTTTAAATAATGTAAAATAATTTATTAAAAAAAATATTTAACAGAAATGTCATTTATATTGTTTTAATATTTATATTATTAATATTGTTATTTATAAAATATTCTAACTAGCTTCTATAACGCCAGCAGTGATTTATTTCTTTCACTTAAGTAATTTACTTAGCAATAATTATGCATTACATGCAGGTTTGATTAATTAGTGTAACTGATGGAATGGTGTTTTATTAAATTGAATTATAAAATAATTGTTTTTTTATGTATTTTTAATGTTAATGGGAAGCAGTATGTGTGTGGACGTGTTGAGTAAAGTGTGAGAGTGTTTAATGGCTTTTTGACATCTCGTTTGTGTTAGCTGGAGCGGAGCGAGAGATTTATTAAATGGTACAGTCTGTAAGGCCTGGCCTATTCCAACTGGAACCCGGCCCTGGTCCTGCTGTCTGCCCTCTCTGGCTCACTCTCCCTCTCCTGCTGCTGGATGAGTTGGCAGCTTGCAGACCGAACGGGGTCCAGAATGCTCTGA